TAAGTGTGAAGATGGATTATTACAGTGTAAGAAAAGTAAAGAACCTTGAGCTTCCTCCAATGGGACACATGGGTGGTCAGACAAAAGAACACGAGGTTCTTGGCGACACATCTGATCTGAGTCTCTGGAGTAACCGATCTTTGTTCTTTGGCTTGCTGAAGGAATTGGTTACTGTATCAAGCAACACACACTGTCAAATTTATATACTTTTTTATTTTTTTTTAAAAGTGTTTTGATGTTGGAACTTTCTGTATACTTGGGGCAGTGTTTGTTGGTTTTCATGTGACCAAACTGATGAATCAAACCATAAAATCATCACATCACAACATATGTAGACCATACTTGACCTTTGTATTTTATGTTAAAAAGGAAAACGGCATAACATTTGTAGAGCATACCTGACCACAAGCTCCATATGCGAAACTCTCTCTTGCATTTTTCTTTGTATTTCCAACCTACATTAGGATAGATCAAGCAACAACTTATTGAACAAAATTATGTTAAAACTTCATCTTCTTTTTTGTGCCAATAAAGAGAAAAAAGCAACTAACTTACTAACCTTCATAATATTCATTCCACCATTCAAAATTCTAAGCTTTTTATTTAGCAAACCACCAACTTGTTCAAGATCTTTTGGGCTTCATCTTTCCAGAAAAGTTCTTCCTGTAAGGAAACATTTCATCCTGCCACCCCACCACATGAACATCAGTCACTAAAACTATATAATATAAATATAAATATTACATAACACGGGTCCCACATGATGAATACAGAGTCACACAATAGATAGCAAAGCATACTTGTGTTTTAGGTACAAATGATTTCTTCAAATTTTTGGATATAATGAAATGAATACCTTTTGGAACAGAAAACCATTGTTCCCTATTTACAGCTTTCTTTAAAGGCTCATGAATAGCGAATATTTCTGAAAATCGTAAGATTACATTTCCATCTTCTACACAGAGAACAGGAAGTGGTGTTGAACTTTTAGCTTCAAGTGGCTCTTCTAACATATCTGTGTCCTCCTGAAAACAGAAGTTATATGTATATCAAATGTATCTTTAATTCTTTATATAAAGGAAGCTTAAATGATGTCTTTAAATAATGAACACAATAAATGTTATAAACCTTTTGAGGCCCCATAACATCAGGATCTGAGTTTTCTATTTCAACTGCAGGACTACCATCCTCTGGAGAGCATTTTTCTTGAGGAACAATTGGTAAAGAAGGACTTTGAACTTGGTCAACATTATCCACACGATCAAGTTCTTTCTGTAATTCTTCCTCTTCTTCATCTTCATCATTAAACAATGAAGATGAGGCAACAGGTGGTACAGTTGTAGAAACATAATCAGATTTTGGTAATAGATAGTCCTCCTCAGTCAATGCTTGGACTTCTGGTCCCTCATACTGTTCATCAATATCTTCATAATCAACTGCATTTTCAGCATTCAGATCATAATCTATTTGGATGTAGCACAAGAGGTGGAATTAGAAGATTATCAGTTATATAATGTCCACATAATCAACCATTATCCTATAAGTCCAAAGTCATAAATTCATTAATAAGAACAATGATACCTTGTTCAGCAACATCAGCAGATGTTTGTGAGGTTTTTACTGACAGCTGAATAATGAGATAGTAAAAGAACAAAGAGTTAGATCTAGATACTAAAATAGTGAAAAGTTCTTATCAGTTATCATACCAAAACAGAGTACATGGAAATGTGTAATGAGTAATAAAACTAATCATAAACACAAGTTGAAGGAAGTAGAAAGTAGTTGTATACATGGATATCTGTTAGTGAAGAACCAAGCTTGTCAGCTAGTGCAGCAAGATGCTCTTTTGCATCCTGAGAAACAAAACCATGGTTTTAGTATCCAAGTTGTAGGTATCCATGATGTGTATGGATGATATTTGTTGTATGTAACCTTGTCCAATTTGTATATGTATTCATACCACATATATGCCACATACTCAAAGAATACTTGAATAACATGGTGTTAGAGATATTAAATTTAGTATTGTAGTAATCATTGATGGAGTAAAATTAAACTAACCTAATAGGAATGTTAAATATTATAAAAACTTGATAAAAGACGATATGTTAAATTTTAAGAAAGACATGTGAACATAATTGTTTTAACTTTTAGTTGCACTGGAAAACAACTTCAAATATTTAAGATAGCATACCAAAATTTGTCCATCTACATGTGGATCATGCAAAGCAGTTTCTTTTGGGTAACCCACCAGCAACAGGGGTAATTTGTCCATCTACATGCAGTAGATTGTACTAGGGACTTAAAGCACTTATAAAACTATCGTATGGAGGGTATTTTGGTAAACCCACCAGCAACAGGGGCAAGTCTGTCCAAAAAAATATCTGAACGGCCTAATCATATTTAAATAGCATCAAATCAGCACCAATCTCTCTATATCTTCTTCATTTTGTCCAGAAAAACAACTAAAAGACCTTGAAAGCACAAATACAACAAAAAAATATTAAAAATATGTATTTGAAGGATTAATTAATGAAGAGAAAAAAACAAAGTAACTTTATTTACGATTTTACCCCTGTAACTGCAGTTTCTGTCCATGCCCAAGCTAATGGAAGAAAATGTCATGGGGATTTGGCAATCATGAAAAGCCCCAATGCATATGAAGTGGCAAATATCAAAACAGATTTCCATGCTTTCATGTTATCAATTTCAAATACCTTTTGAGAAAAAAAATAAAAAGTATTAAATATGAATATGTTCAAATAAAAAAGGATAAAAATTAATAAGTAAGAGTGTAATACGGTCTTGGGAAGAGTATTGATGATGTCTTCAAAGTGATATTATCTGAAAGTGGTTCTCCAATTTTTCTAAAACCGTAATTTCGCATAATTCTTGTCTTCTTTCTGCACTCTCTGTTGGTAATGGTGGTGTGATAGGACTGGCTACTGCTTTGACTATTTTACCCTTTCGTAAAGGAATCATTGCAAGTTATATATCAGGGTTTAAGAAATAGCTTAGAAAGACCATCAGTAACGGCCTGTTTTGACATAATCACAAAACTATAAGGACTTAACTATTATATAATTTTAAAAAAAAAAAAAAAGAGGGGGAGGGGGTTTACGTATCAAGGCAAAGATCTGCCAAAGAACTGCGTCTAATGTGTTCGTTTTTCATAGCAACATCAGTGAAAATACTATGGTCTGGTTGCGCACCCTGTGCAACAGCATCTACACAATACCCAAAAACATGTAAGAAAAAGCAACCTACTTTTATTTCTTCTTATTACAACATTCAAACTATAATGTCTTAATTAAAAGTACAAGGTTATAACTGGGTATAGTTTTATATAATAAGAGGATTAAAAATGACATACAGGCACGAAGTCTCATTTCACCAGCAGCTGGGAACCTGAGAAGCCAAAGGGCACTATTGGGAACACGCTTTAAAATATTGCACCTGAAACAAACATTATGTTAAATGTTACTTACAAGAGTAACATAAATTGAGATTATATCTTTAATGTTACCAAGTGATAAAAATTTCAGGATCCATCTTGTAAAGCTGATTAAAACAAGCAAATATGAACTTGTTTTCAGGCAATCCGTAAGCTGAACGCTTGGGTTGGCGGTTTACATCCAGCACATCAAGGTTTTTCTGCACCCAACCATTAAAAAAAAGATTATTAAAAAGAGCTGACGTCACTTTAAAAAATCTAACAAATTAGAATTTAGGAGAGTATGTAGTATGAAAAATCTACTCAATTATAACAATAACAGATTAATCAAACTACATTTACACCTTTACCTGCTTGTAATCATTCACAAAGTAGCAATGAGGGAGATGAACGACCTTCTCAGAGTAAATATGAGCAGACCGAGTTGGAGAGACAAATTGTAAGTAAGATTAAACATTTAAGCATCTAGTAAAAATGAGATTTAAAAAAATGAGAAGATAAAAAGAAAATCGTTTACTTCATCAGTGACCAAATACTGTATGTAGTTAGCACCAGTTGTGCCAGGGAATCCCATATATGAGACCTGAATGGGAGCTGGTTGCAGAGCAAATATTTCATTTCATGCCCCCTGGAATATGAATATATTATAGAAACAAGATGCAACAGGATTAACAAACCTTGTTTAAAACCACCATAGTTTTTATTATTGTCCCTTTTGAAACCCATATTATAAGTAGATGTGATTAATCATGAACAACAAACACTCTATTATTGTAAAAAACCATATTTGGTTTGTGTATTCCCAAGAATCAGACAGATTTGGAATTTAGGATTCCATTCCATGGTGTGTTCGGTTGGCAAATGGGCGGAATTCAGTTTTGTCAAATTTTGCATGTGATGAATTTCACCATTCCTAGGATGGGTGGAAGATATTTAATACCATTCTTCATTTTTTTATTAGGAGACCAAAAATACCCTCATTATGTATATTGAAATAACCAAAAATAAAAAAAATAAAATTTATTACAAGTGAAATTCTAAAAAAACAATTCAATTATTATTATTGAACTCCATTCCAGTTCCAGCCTAACCAAAGCATGACAGATTATGATTCCTTCATATTCCAATTCCTTCCAAAAACATTCTAAGAACCAAACAATCCTTGGGGTTAATATTTTTATGTATATTTAAATATATTTTGTTCATTGTTATTATATATACTTGAAGTTTTCATTATATTTATTTAATATATCTTGTGTGGGTATCTTGGTCTTCAATAAAAAAAAAGGAAGAAATCAACCAAATGCAACCAAAGATTCAAGATTCGCAACTAAATGCAACCAAAGATTCAAATTACAAGAAAAAACCATACCTTCTTGGAAAACCATTCATGTTTCCAAAAGAGTTGTTTGGAAATGGAAAACCAGCAACAGGGGCCACAATGTTTAATCCCACAATCTCTATCTTCATTGGCTTCCCATCAAGTTGGACATTGTTATACCTTTTGACAGCCGCTAATGCATCTTGCCTTCTTGAATACAATATCTTAGCCGTCCCCTGAAAGAAAATTTAGTTACAACAGAATCACAAACATGAAACTTTACAAAAGGTACTAAAACCTTGAAAATTACCTTTGATCTCCCACTTCTATCATAATGTATAGAATACTTTTTCAGGTCACCAACTTCTGCAAAAAGCTCCTGCACAGATTGAAGTGGTTTCATCCATGTGAGATTTCACCCAAGAAATTCTATGATTTACCAGTAAAGAAATAGAAAGTATATTGTGCACAAAATACAATCTCATCCACAAATCGACCAAAACAGTTTTCAGATACATCAGCTACACTTAACTATTTTCTTGTTACTATTAGTGTTTGCCTAACTACAAGAAACCATTAATCTCTACTATAACTTAGATTGGCTATGTACCATTTAATTCATGCCCTTGCACACGAGTAAAAGAATCTGGAAATAGATTTACACATCTTCAAAGAATCTTTAAGATGTATTGTAATTTATACTAACTTTGCCTTCTACCAAGTACCAAACTTAGAAGTACAAGGATTTCAATTTTGCGTTTATTAGATCGTCAATAAAGAAGAAACAACCAAATCAGTTTGATTTTTTGAAATATTCAAGTCTGATTTTTTATGGTTAATCCAAACATTGGAGTACGGTATCCAGATCTAGCCGAAGTTAGCTATAAGAGGTAAAAAGAAAGTATCAATCACCTTAATATCGTCATTCGAGACACTGTAATCAAGGTTTGATATGTAAAACTTCGTCCCAGTTTCAATCGCAGATGGATGGCCGCCAGGTCCAACTTTCCCCATGACCTGATCCGGAACAACGAACATATCATGCCTCCAAGCCGCATCTGGTGCCTAAATCAGACACGGAAACCCTTTACAAACATACTTTAGTCATCACCTACAACTACATAGTACGAGCAGCACATTCAGTAGCTTCCCGAACAGCAACAACTTGATCAGAGAACGAAACCTGCAAATGAGGTCTAGGGTTTACATGGAAACCCAAAAAGATGGATTATATAAGAAAAACCAAAAGGATATGAACATACCATTCGATGACCAGAACACGAACTGTGAGGAGGGCTGTTAGGGCTAGAAATAGCTTCCAAGGTCATCTTTCGACAAATCTAGGTATAATGTCCAATTGTTGTTATCTTCCATCTCTAAAGTCACCGACATGGCATCTTTTTTCTTTGGAGCCATCGTCGTTGCCCCATAACTTCGGAGATGGCGTGCCTACGATGGTCGAAGTGCGAGGGAAGAAGTAGGCGGCAGTCGATGTCGGGAGGGGGAAGGAAGGAGCTTCGATAATTAGGTCAAGAGGGAAATGAGAAAAAAGGAAGGCGGGGTTTTTAATTTTTTTTAGTATTTCATTTCCCCCCGGCTATTAAATGATGGAACGCGCGTTCCATTAAAATTTATAAAGCGACATCCTTAGACGACACACATTTTACTATAGGTGCCCTCCGTTTTTTTTTTTTTTTTTTAGACACTAATTTAAGGGCACGCAATAATGCGTGACCTAAATCCTTAAATTTTTTGAAGAGATGACCCTTTTTTAATGTCACTCTCTTTTGTGTAACATAAATCAATGAGTGTCGTGGTTTGCACGTCGTAAAAGGATATTTTTCTTGTAGTGATTGTTGTTGAACAAGTGTATGGAGACACAAAAGAGTTTGACAAAGTGATGAATGACAAAGGTGCTCATTATTTGGAAACTAACACTGTCGTGTATCCAAATTTCACATGCACAGATGAAGTAGTTTTTCCAAATCAAGTATTTGTCACTGTTGGGCATGCTGAGAGCATCAAGCCAGAGTTTAATAAATTGGTTGAAGAAGACAATAAGAAAACTTCAGACGAAGGATTCTTTTCAAATCAAAGCACAGTCGAAAACAATCTAACGAAGAATTTGTATGTTTTTCAAATACAAAAACCACAACGAAAATGGGTTGTAAAATCAAAAAAAGAAAAGGAAGTTTTCAAACAAGAAGTTGTTGAAACAACCTAAGTTGTAAAACTCAACTCACAAGAATTCAAAACACTTGTTGACAAATTTTCAAAAGAAAAAGGAGTTTCAAAAAGAAACACATTGATGACTCTACACTAACATCTAATACTACTGCAAATGGCGAAAGTATGCTAGATGCTCGTACGGAGGGGGAGCATACGAATATATCTTCAAATGTTGAGGGGGAGCATCCTTTCGAGGGGGAGAAGAGTAGTATGAATGATGATTTCGAGGGGGAGCATCAAAATGACAATTATGTTGAGGGGGAGCATAATG